ATATTGTAGGCTGGGAGGTGTTTTGGGTACTGTACATTGACGGCACTCGTGCACGAATACCGTGAAGAACACGCATGTCGAGCAAACTGCAGACAGGTACTAGCCTCTGATAGGTACATGCATTTTTACGAATGCTCTTGTGTTAATATAATTTCGGAACCCAAAGTCAACATCTCACTTTAATTTATCTTATGCATGTACACCGCGGCTCAGTGTAAGGCTCACGGTGACAACACACACATACACGGGAATGCACAAACAGACCGAAGAACGAATCAGTGAGATAGCAAGCAAATAGTGGAAGTACAGCCGTGTACGTTTATCCTCTCTCTCTCTCTCGCGCGCGCGCGAGCGCGAGCTCTGACTGATGCTGACTGTCTACCTTTCTCTAGGTGTGTATCTGCACTGTGCATTATTTCCAACCCAATCAACCTGGTCTTCACCACCACCATCACCATTACCAAAACTACAGCCACTAGTCTCCTGTCGGCACAAGCGAACGGCCAAACGGAGACCACGACAGAGAGGACTACAGAGAGAGAGAAAAAAAGTGACCGACAAGCGCATTATTCTCCGTCCTGTCATCACAAGTTGATTAATGGCACCGCTCTGCTATACTATACGCGTGTTTGTTTGATGGAGTCTTGTTCTGTCCTTGCTCCAAGCTCCGATCCGACCCTTTCCCACCCACCCTTTCCTCATCTGTCCGTGCATGTCCATACGGTGGATGTTGTATGATGCCTTTTCACTTCTTTTTGTGTGTGTGTTCAACCTTGCGATCGATATCGAAAATCAACCCGCTCTCGTATCCTGCCCCGTCTATTCACAGTACGCCACATGATGCCACCTCAGTCTTTTGTCTATTCGTTCTTTGGCTTCCTCGTTTGCTAGCTCATTGATATTCTCTACTGTTTCATTTAACAGTTCAGACAGAAGTCATGTAGATCGCCCAATTCATCCGCTCCTGCCTACCACATCAGCTGCCTCAACCCCCTTCCCTTCCCCACGACCCCTTCTTCCCGAGACAGTTGTCAGCTGGTCATGCTGTCATGAGCGCGGTCACTTATAAACGCTCTCTCTTTCTAAACACACACACACAATCCGCAAATGTGATTAATGAGGTCGATTTCACAAGGTCTCTTAGTTTGTATGTGCGCCTCTCTATGCAGTTGTGCGCGTTTGTGTACGCGAGCGTTTCCGTTCTTATGCATAGGCGGTCGAGTTTTCGTGTTTATGCATGAGACAGCTTCGACCTTCAGGCCACACACACACAAAACTTATTTTTCGTGTTGAATCTCGTATGTATTGAACAATAAGTCATCCGTTCATTACGGACGGTATTGCTGCTATACCACCGTTTCCGCCGCGGTTGCACCGGCAACAAGTACTTAAGGTGCATGGTTGATTGCCTGGAGGTGATGACATTGATCAATACCGATCACGAGATTACCTCTGGTCGCGAACATTCCGGTTATGTCGATGTGTCACCGCATTCCAGGCCTAGTTACATGTTTCATTGAAGACCGGTGCATCCGAGGAGCATTGAAATAGTTGTTTAATATAGAAGCTGAGTTACAGTATATTTAGCATAAAAGTCTCTTGCACTGCGATCCGGTCAAAATATACTTGATTATTATTATTAATTATGTATGCTTTCCCCAAAAGTGATTCCCCAGGTTTTGTGAATATTAATTCGCACACTGCTTAGCTAATAAAGCCTTCCAAATCCCACTCAGACGGAGATTTCACAAGAAAGTGATTCATCGTGCAATGACAAGGAGCCACACACACAGCGCTGAAAAGCCTTGTAAGCAATGTGTAAATGTTTCCTCGGGTTTACCAGGAGTCAGCCGCAGTACATCTGAACAACTCGTAGCACTTATGATGCAGCTTCCCAGTGCTTTACACTGGTACAAATTGTCCGTTGCAGTTGCATAGTGACCCCCTTTTCAACCATTTAGTTTACAACCAATACAATTACTATTGGAAAAAATCACCTAACAGGCGTTTTCTGTTCATAAACCATCGACTGCGACCTCACACTCTCACACACTATGAGCACCCAGACTAATCAGCTCAGTTGTTCATTGCAAAATTGTAACAGATCCTACAAATTGGTACAGAAAAGACCGAGTGAATCATCAACTGCGGATGAAGTACAATAATTCCATAAATTTCAGTCTGTACAAAAGTGCCCCCACTCCCTCCCGCCAAGACTGACCTCAACAATCGTCCATAGTTTCATTTGAGGTGTTCATAATGTTGCTTCACTTGACGCATTAACTGTCATTTGATGTTGTATCATCGACATCTGCACCGCTTTCGGATGTTTCAGACCATTTCATGGAGTTCTTGTCTTATTTGTCTGCAAACACTTTTTATGTGACTTGACAGAGATAGGCTCTATCGGTGATTTCAATATTGCACTCTCTTGCTAACACCATTCGCGGTTGCCATATAAATCTAGAAATCCATACATCTTGAAAATAATTTTTCAGGTATCGATCAAATGTGGGACTCGAAAATATGCCCTATTGTTCCTGTCCGATCATAAATATCAGTTCATAGGTTAGTTACTTGCTAATGGATAACTAAATAGTGTTATTTTATCAGTCCATGCAAAGAAATTAAAATTAGTGCTTTGTTGTTCGCTTGAATAGAATTCAATGTTTACGTCTATCCATTGCATTCGGTTAGGATTAGTAAGATTGAAAACGATATGATTTATGTCGTATGTAGCATTTTCGTACGGCCTTCATTATTCTTTGGTAAAAGATCGTTCCGAAACCGTCACAGAATGTTCACTATATCATCCCCACCCCTCTTTCGATCATGTGTCGACAGACTTCATTTGATACTACTAAACGCGTACATGGTCAGAATTGGGCGGTTACAGCGTACCTAAACAGCTAACTACTTGCAGCGAGAGCGAAGCAGATTGCATGTGTGGATTGTTTGGGTTCATAGTGGTTGTGGATCGGGCTGCACGAGACACCATTTGGCCTAATGAATCCCCCCAAACTTAACTATCTAACCTCTGTTCCATTAGCACTTTCGCTACACACCCATGGGTAAAAGAAGGAATTCACCCCCTACCCAGCCGCTTTCCTTTCTCTTCCTGTCCTTCTATTTGCCCTCCACATCCACCATTGCTATCTGCATCAGAACAGGTGCTGGGGCCTAGCTACATAACTTTCAACCCGGTTGAATGAAACAGCTTGTGTGGATCTGTTATATGATGGCAATCATTTTATTCCGACATTCAACTGGTTTCCTACTCGCACGCACTTTACATACTTCCGTCCCCCATCAGTGCCTGCTCCGTACTTGTTAAGCTGTAGGCGGTGTACACATGTGTGTGTATACGCGACTGCAACTGACTCTCATTCCAGTGCGAATCTATCTGTGCTGATCATCCCAGGGACCTGAGACCGCATGTGAATATGATCATTCAGTGTCGATACTGCTTCTGTTCTACTCGTTATAGCTAAACTATTCACATGACTACTGCCCACAATGGCGTTTATCGGCTGCTTACATAGTCATCACAGCGGGCGGAATGAGCGACCATCGAGGTAATTTGTCCTGTCTCAGGTTGGTTGCTCTTGACCGTTTGCATGGGACGGCAACTTCGACATTTTCATGTATGCGCACCAATAGTGGGGCAAATAAGGTCACCATGTCATCATAAAAGGTTGTTGGTCAAATCTCTGATATAAACCTCGATTGCCGATGCAGCCCAGGAAAGTCAATAAAATTCATGGGATATTGATGCGTGCGGTTGAAAACATAAAACGAATACGATAAACAGATATATTTAGCACGTGTGCTTAGTCTAACACATAAAGAAAGATGTCCTTCAGCTTACATGCGTGGTCGATCTTCGACAAAGAAAATGCGGACGTAGAACCAACCAGCCATAATCATTGTATCAAACACATGCGTGTGTGATCACCAAACACTTAGATGCCGAAAAGGTGAGAATCAAATGTTGTTGTTTCGGTGCTAGCACCGAATTGCCACACGTGTCCCGTACCAAAATGTGGACATATGCTTACACAAACATGAGATGTGTTGTTGTCTGATGGTCCTGGCAATGGCGGCAATTGCAGTGGTGGTGCTGGTGCTGGTGGTGGTGATGATGATTACGAACGGGAAGGCGGCAAGTCGTTCTAAGCCAGTCAGTCTATTGTACCCAGCTGTGTCCCCAATCGAAGGCCATCAGTGACCCGACGAACAAGCCGACTACGGATTGGTGCACAACCATTTGGGTTTATTGCCGACTGAGTCGTTTGTCTGTTCTTTAAGATTCAGTCACATGACCACACTGAACTTGACCAATCGAAAGCACCGGATACAAAAAGCGTGTTTGATTTTCTTTGAGTGTAACTCAGTGTCTGTTTATCTAGCTAGCTAACTGTCTATGCCCGAGGCACATAGTTGTTATGTAGTGAACCTCATCGTGTAAAGAGCAAATGGAGCGTGAAACGAAGACCGGGAAGCACTGAACAACGTTCGACATGCTTGGGTCTCATCGTTAATGCGAATTCATAGACCCAAATGGGGATCGAACCCAGGACAGTCACAGGCGGAACGTAAATACGCCATCCACTCGACCACACACACACACACACACACACACACACACACACACGTCGATCAGCTGACCGCGTTTGCTGACATTGAAGACTCGATAGCGATCACTACGCAGCGTGCGCTGTTGGACTTGTTTGGTTACCACACGAGTGTAACTGAGGTGTGTAGCACAAATAAAAGATGGCTGAAATACAGAATATCGCATTTCTTTTTTTTTGCTTGAATCACGCGCACATACACTGTGCTGTGTGGTCACAAAAATGCCGTGGGCATTGAACAGTTGCTTCTTGTCAATTAAAATAAATCCACCAATGCCGATTAGTGTCGACACTTCCAGTTGCATTTTAATTCTAAATTGACACTTCCTTCTCTCCCACGTTCTCGTTATGCGTTCGCCTGTCCTAATGTTAGGTGCATCGAGCGACAGTTTCTACTTCACCGTCAATCCGAACGATCAGGATGTCGAGGAAGGCCAACCATTGCGATTGCGTTGTGCGGTTACCCCGTCCAAAGATATCTACTATTCGTGGCTCCATAACGGGACGCGAATCAATATGGACCGGGAAAATGGTCGACGTTATTTGGAAGTCGACAGTAACTTGCAAATTCTACACGCTGACCGCGAATTGGACCAGGGTCTGTACCAATGTCAAGCCCTCAATCGTTCGTCCACATTTACCACGGCCAGTCAAGAGGCAAAGATTAATATATATTGTGAGTTTTTCTATGGGGTTACATGGACATCGGTCGTAAATTTTATGGTACGAACACCGGTCGCTTGCTGCACTTTCCCATTGAATAATTAGTCAGTGAATTAATACTTTAGATGTATACATTTGTGGTTGCGAACCCTCATTTTAATAGAGAACAAGTGTAAATGGATGTCTGACAGCTAACACGAAACATAAACAGTTCACCATGCGATCAAGTTCATTTATCTGGAGACCCGTGTCATCTGGGGGGTAACCCTACCCAAAAGCTGTTCACATTAATCATGCTCTTTCCCCAGAAAGCTTTGGACACAGTTGTGTCCCAGGTTAAGTAGATAGATAAGCACGTAGTGAATTAAGCAACACGTTTTGTAGACGGCGAATGTGGCCGGTCCATAGACCGGTGATCATGCAGAAACGAGCAACACGTAGGAAGGCAGGTAGCAGGCAGGCAGGCCAACACAGGCTTGTGAAGGGCAAGGGAAGGATGACCATCCAAAACCGAAGATATTCACCCCCGATCATACTCAGACATTCGGAGGCCAATCGGCTACTACTGCTGCTGAAACGATTCGTAAATTTGCATAAAAGCAGTTTTTCTATGTTCACAGCACAGTAGATTTAAGTTTATCGTTTCATAAGCCAGACATTGCTTAGAGAACCGAACATCACTTCCTGTGAAACATAAATCATATGATAAGCGCGAATCACTCGGAGACAAAGTCCTTCAGCCGAACTCAATGCTCCTACCATTTGCTTTCATAACGGTGAATATTTCAGGTCACTGATTTTGGAATGAACGTCCAAAACAGAATAAGAAGCACTACAACCGTATACTCAGAGAATTGTAGTCACTACTCAACGATTCACAGTAGTAACATTTTAATTTAAGCATGATCTATGCCACCTACTTTAATTTGGCCTTTGTTGACACTTCTCTGCATCGAGACGAGATTCTTGACTTTAACACGGTTGGACAATATTTTCATATCAATTGCAAAACATCGGTGTTGAAAAGAAATCCGTCGTAGAAGAGTGACAAATTCTGTCCAGCTGTATTCACGATTTATGTGATGCTTCAAATAACATTTCGTACTCGATTTCATTCAACACGGAAACTGGAACCAGAAACTACCTCAACTTCGTTTGATTCGCGTCCGATATTGATGTGTATATGGTCCATAACATCAGAGCCGATTATTCCTTTTGTGTCTGGAGTAGAAAGGAGAATCAGATTAGAGTTTCTTCTGGTGTTGGAACGTAAAATACAACGAGTAAAGTCAAACTAATGTTCCTCCGTGATTCATGCGTTTCAAATTCGTGCCCAAACCATATCCCACCTTCATAGCTAATATAATCCAAGATTCAAATTCTCACCAAATCAAACAACTCATGGTTGCATGCCGGACAAAGTTATGATGACGAACGTATTAGGTAGTTTGTTTAAACCCCTTTGGAACACGTGTATTTCTGTGTTGTTTCGATCCGGGAATTGGCTAATGAATGTGTTCACTGAAGCAGTTACTGAAACCTTCTTGTTTGATCAGTAGAACACCTGGCAGTTAGATTTATTCATTTGGATGCCCCAGTAAGCCGTGCACCTCCTGCACTTCAACCAAGCCCCTGCCAATCTTGATGTGATGTTCGTGTGTGCGCACACACAGACACGTGCACCTTGATATAACGAAGTGGCTGTGTCAGAACTTTTCCTTGTTTGCCGGCTTCTCTCAGCGTGCGACGGACATAAACACTTCGACTATTTCATACCGAGAACGGATACACCGTTGGATATGGCGGTTCTTCTGTTTCACTTTCAAAAATGTCGGTAGTGGCACACTGTGTGGCGCACAATTTGTATATTTTAGTAGCATAACCGAGCTTCCGCGCCTGATATTCAACGGCGGGTGGGGGAGGGGGAGCAGCAGCTGAACTGGGTCATGTGGTCTGTCTCTGGCGTACAAGAAATTATATTCCTTCACTATACCTTGCGTTTGGTTAACTGCCAATAGATTGTCACAAAATATTACTCTGGTCGTCAAAGTGCGAATGATCTTCAGTTTATGGCTATGGCGAATGAACTAGACTCCAGCTTTTCTCATGGTGAAGAGGTACCAGTTCACATAAACGGAATCGTTCATAGTTCTTAACAAATTAATAACTGAGGTAAAAGAATAGATTTATTTAAAAAGTAAGATTTAAAGTTTAAGAAAAGACGGGAGAGAGATCGCGGAACCTGACACTTCAATTAGCAATGTTAATTAACCTTTTTGTTTTGTGGGGTCCCGATCGCCGAAGGAAATATAGTGTCACTGCGACTAGTTGACCTGGCTATCCTCAGCATCGATCGCTGATGATATGCGTTGTTTGTTCGAATGTGTGGAGGAGGTGCAAAACGCACTTGACAACAAGTTCTGTCGCTCCGTTCGGTATACATTTTACACCTTAAAAGTGTAGACTGGTGCTTTAAGACTAAGTGGCATCTACACCAGCTCTGGTGTTTGATGGTCAGAAATTAGTTTTTATGAATCA